AATATTTTGAAAATTTCATTCTGTTAAGTAAATAAAAATATTCCCAAATAAAGAAAAACATTTTTGATTCTTTACAATTTTTTTTTTTTTTTGAACTACAATAAAATAATTTATATTATCTTTTGTTTAATCATAAGAATTTGAATTTCTAAGGTTATTGACTTACCTATTCACCATTTTCAAGTTCTAAATAATTTTAACATGCACATTTACGCGCAAGTTCGATTACTGTGATATATATATACTGCCTAATTTCATGCATTGTTAGAAAGTATTAGAGCCATGACTGTCGTCTTGTATTAATAATAAAAATTAAAGAAAAAAGTTATTGATAAAGAAAATTACAATAATTTTATTTAAAAAAAAAAAACTTGTAAGGAGAATACAACGTCAAGACAATTTATAGTTATTGTTATATTAACATAGAAAAATATTTTTTTAATGATACCAGGTTAAATTGATAGGTCTACTACTTAATTTTATAAATAATAATAAATGTATTTTTTGCATTATAACTTATGAAAATGCATGTATTCACTATTTTATTTCTATCATATTGTATTATTGTGCCTTTTGATATTTCTAATGTGTTTAACCAACCTTAAGATAGTAAGATCWGCCTTGTAATTTAGACTACATGTAGTTAGTCGATTTTAAATTAATTTGATGGTATTTTAACATTTTTATTAACTATAGGTTATATGTAACTAATTGTCAACTGTCACGTTTCCCCATATTGAAATTTTGAAAGTTTCATAAAATTGATAAATTGTCGATAAGGATTGTGGGCTGATAAATAAAACAAACTTCCTAATTTTAAATAGGTTAAGCTAAACTTGTGGTGGCTGGTACTGCCAGGTAGGTGTATTTATTTGTTGTGTGTTGGATATTCGTTGAAAAAAAATTAATTTTTCAAATGTTAGAGCACAATAGAAAATGAGTCCCCTTGACATTCAAGATTATAAAATTAATAGTGAAGAGGAGACACTTAATGACTTTAAATTTTATAGACTTTTTAATGTACTTATCACAGAATATAACAATGTACTTATTAATAGATAGATACTAGTTAAAAATTAATTTCTATTGATTTGAAAACAAGTTTTAAGTCTTTAATGATAACACATAAATATGTAATGCAAGTTAAATATAAGTTGTATCTAGAAAATATATCATGATCAGTAATAGTAAATAATTCCATTCTCAGAATTTCATGTCATAATATTATGGTCATGAAGAATATCTGGAAAATCATTTAATTTCATTTTAGGTATCTTTATGTGGTAAAGTAATTGATAATGTTTTTATTTTGATACTTTGATAACGGCTATTATTATGTTTAGCTAAATATAWTTTTTTAGTTTTACATGTCATTCAAATAGATTTTGCATTTAATTTAATATCATACAGTATACACCACAATCATTAATTTGGCAAATGTAACCTTAATAATTATATCATAAAAAATAATCATCTAATATTCTAATTTAAGTTTTCATAGCTATGCGGTACCCCAATAAAATACTTAGATTGGTATATTTGAAAGTTATGTACTTAACATAAAAAAATTAAATTTAAAATAATCAATATGACCCAAGTCTTCTCTGTTGTTAATTTATTATAAAATACCTAAAGGTATTTGATGTTGCATCAGCATTGTAAAAGATTATTTTACGCTTTTTCATATATTAATAACGTGGTCTCATCAAATGTCTTACATTAATGGCTTGAGATTTCTCAATATAGAACATATGTACCATTATTTTATGTATAATGTAGATACAACTAAATAATTAACCTAAATAATTTCGATGTGTTTAACCAGAGGATTAATTAAGTGTTGTAAATTTGAATTAGTAT